TTCTAGTTAATACCAGCACAATTTGCCTTATTGCAACATTGTTCAAGCAGGTTTAAAAAACTCCAATAAATAATCGTTTATTTCGTAACGGATCTCGAAAAAAGGCAATTTGCAATAGCCGGTGTTTCACGTTTAACCTTAATATTATTCACTTTTCCTTAAGTATATATTTGTAGTATTATTCAAGTACTATTGCAAACTGTAATCATTTCGCATACATTCAATTAGTCTTTTTATGTGAAAGCACATTATATAAAATTTATATTTCAGGGATTACATTACAGCTGTTTGTGATTTTTATAGTAGAATTTTTAAAGTATATCCGCTTGGTTTTTCTGTTTATAACAGACTTTGGAATTGTTCACCAACTGATTTTGATAAATCAGGAAATAGAAATAAATACTCCATACTTTGCAACCAAAAGTGGTTACGAATTTCGAAAATGAATCAGGATATAATTTGCTGTAGATTTTCAATAAGAATGCTGGATAATGCTTCTAAAATATATGTATGGAGGCTTGTAAAAACGGTACCTGCATCAATTTAGGTACTTGAATGATCGCAAAAACCGGTACCTGCAGACGGATTCCTATTTTTAATGCTCGAAATCAACATTTTGAAAACATCAAATAGAAAGCAGAAATTCAGAATAGCATCCCGAACAGTTCCAATTAGACTACAATATTCCAAAATTCATAGACAGATATTTTTTTCGTTTTTAATCCCATCGCACCCCCGCAAAAAAGTGTCAGAACTCAAAAATGTTGAACTATTAAGGACGCAAAAACAAATTTCAAAAATTTTAAATAGACATTAAGCGCATTGTAAGAATAAATATATATATCAAAATTGACATTAGAAGGATTGTTTCTTAGGCATAAATACACAATTTGGTTTTCATGTTGATTATGTGGACTACTATTTTCTGGTTTAGACTTGTGTCGTTTTTACATTAATTGGCCACTTCCTTCATCTTTTATTTTGCATTTATTTGAGTCCTATGAACTACAGTTACACCGAATTTATTTGTATTACCAGAATCTGTTTACAAATAAAAATGTATCTTATAATGAAAATAGCTTGAAGCTTAAAAATAAAAACTGAAATTTTAAGAAAACACTATTTAAAAATATCGACACAAAATAGGAAGTACAAACAATGACTATAACAAACTTGAATCTGGTCTTGACTTCTGGAATTGAAAGATTTTAAGTTCAACGATTTTTACCGAGTTTTTTAGTAAATGATCAGCGTAGTTATTACCAATTGCACCGTTTTTCTTCATTTGTAGAATACGATCAGTTCAAAAACACATAACCACACTAGCACCCTTTAGAAGATATTATAAGAACTCAACTTGGAACATTTTTTCTGATCTTTGGAATGTAATGAGCATAAAAGAAAATTTGAAAAATGTTGAGTTTTTTTCACTTTTCTTGCGGTTATGCGACATTTTGAATAATTCAGTGGGTTCAAATTGCAAAAACAGTCTTGAAGTCGCCTGAGGAATTCGGAATTCAATTAAAATAACATACAAGTAGGATATTTTCATTATGTCCATAAAAAGTAAAACTACCTGCTTCGAAGTTAAAAGAATACAAACTCCAATATATTATCCAGCATCGATCCATAACATAATACAGGCCATGCAAGAAAATTGGGTATTTTGCATACTAATTCCTTTCAAATAGTCATTTCATTCAATAAACTTTCTTATTATGCCTTGCTTATAAATTCAATTTCAGCTGATTTTTCCGATAGAAAATTTGCTAGATTTATCCATTCATTATTACAATGTTTATATGACAGTTTTTTCTGATAAATCTCAAGAATATTGTGAGCGAGCGAACATATTTGGTTCGGAAAGCCAAGAGATCAGGAATTTTTCTTCTGCATTATATGGACCAGCTGAGCCTGAGCCGCGGCAAATCCTGTGATGTTTCGTCAAAACACCGACAGAAAATTGATCGTCTGGCGGAATTTGCTTCTCGGAATTGCAGCTAGTTAAGTCTGGACGCACCTTTGCAATAAGCCCTGGCAATGTAAAAAAGTATGTTCATATTATTTGTCGTAATTGTAAAACATTGAAATAAACCACATTCTTCACATTATCTGGGCATGGCTAGCGCACATGCTTTGTTGGTTTTTGGCCTTTATTCTCCACAAAACCCTCTACAGCTCTTCCAGGCTAATTTGATCAGCCTGTATATGAACTGCTTATCTCATTCAACTATCTAATCAACAGTTTATCTCCAGTAAAAGTGCATTATCGTTTCTAAACACTTTTCCAAATTGCTGTCGCAGTAGTTTACCGCACCTTTATAAAAATACCTGAGAAGCATGCCAGGCAACAATTTTAATTATTTGATACGATCAGGTCATTCTTGATCATTCATATCTCAAACAACCATTCCAATTACTTATGGATACACTTTAATCGGCCTTTCAATAAAAATTGTTTCCGACATCAGATAACATCTCGTCTAAACAAACAAAGCAAAAACTTAAAGAACCATTACGGTTTTTTCTGTATAAAAATGCTGGTGCACTTGACCTTGTCCATATTATATGAGAACATTAACGAATTAATAATGTAATAGGCCAAAACTAATCATGATTTCGAGCTGCTTTTTTAGGTGCTTGGAAGTCAATGGAGCCCAAAATAAAACTGGAGGAGAATTCTCCAAAAAAACAAAACATGCTCAGTTGCAATGAATAACAAACAACTATAATAAAAGTGTGTACTGTATGTTAACTTTGCTAGTTTATTTGCTATATTTTATTTTGCTCAATCATAGCTAGATAGTTTATTTAAAAGAATAACCCAACTGGATTTGTCACACGGTATAAATAGCGGTCGTCCTTGTCTTCAACCATGTCTTCAACGTGTCGGGAGACTTTTTCCTTTTTTCATAGAGGCGAGGCATCATGCATTCACTATCGTTGAAAAAATATCGTCTTTTTCACAAGTACTTTGGTAGGCGTGGATCATGTGTTGGATTTGTTATTCTTTGCTCATCGATTCCATCCACTTGAGTTCAATGATTGTTTTCTATTTATCCACCTTGATACGCTACTGCGCTACCGTATCTGTAAGGAAACAACCACGTAGGTCCTACAAGTGTGCATATGTGTGATCGAAAAAAGCCATAGCTCAAGAGTTATTGCAAAATATGACTGTAATTAGCATCATGCATAAGAATGTGCAATCGTTAAGCGACTTACGACTCGCTGGCTTATAGGTAAAAATGAGCGACGATTGCTTTAAGTCGGTGTGAAGAGCGTGACTTTTGCATGTGTTGGTGGCCTTTGTAGCTGAAGAAACCGATTTCCAGCGGATTGAGTAATCAGCGAAAACACTAAATATTTGATCATAAAACAGCAATTTTATGTCTATTTCATATTGTAGTTTATGAACAAGGTTATTCATATAACATTTTTGATAAATATTGGAAGCGGTTATGATGCTTGATGAAGAACAACAAAAACAGGAAAATTCTGAACACATTAAGTATAGTCTATAGAGCTGAAATAAAAACGCTGGTCTCATTTTTACATAAAATTATTTTTTATTGCGTTATTTATGTGGTAGATATGATTTACTTTGTTTTTTTAAGACAACCTCAATTTTTGATACCGTCGTTTAAAAATCGAGTATTTTTGTGTACAGGACGATTAAATTTGCTTTAGAAACAAATGTTTCTTCTGTTTATGAGATTTTCTTTAAAAACTACATTTTGCTCAAATTTTTTCTATTATTTTTATCTAACAAAAGGTTATATTATGTGCGTTGACTTGGGAGTTTTATTAACATTGGAAAACAAATATTTTTTTATAAAGCCGCCAAATCAAAATGCATCAGGGAATAATCTTCTTTTTTTAAATCCCCAACTGCACTATCCATTTGGCGCAAGAATGGAGTGACAAAAAAGTGCAATTTCGTGAAACCATTATGGACCGACGTGATAACAACCTGCAATTTTCTTGCCGCATAGTTCATTCATTCATGCAAATGACGCTAATTGCGTAACATTACTGCATGAAAATGTAATATTGAAAATCGCTAGACTGAATCCAAATCCGGAGCAATTTATCGTTCCCAATGACCAGCTATGTTTTGATCAAGACGGTGGACCATCATACTATTCACAATCTGTTCGAAACGATTTAAATACAATTTTTACAAACATATTGATTGGTAGGAGAGAATCCATAGAATGGCCTCCCAGATCTCCCGACTTAACTCCTCTCGATGTCTTTTTTTGGGGCTAACAAAATTAATAAAATTTACGTCAACCGATTAAATCATATTGAAGGCACAAAGATTCGAATATCACAAGAATTTAGACTACATCATCCAAAAATTACTAACGAAATTGAAAATTGCCTTCATTTTTTGAAGGTATTCTATTCATCGTTTGAAGAAATATTTTTTGTTTTGCAACATGCAAATTTCGATTTGCCTTTCAAAGAATTTCAACATTCTAAGTCTTAATTCTCTCTTAAGTCTCATTCTCCTTAAGTCTTCACATCCCAGATATAGTTGCAAATAGCGGCTACGCGGAAGGATTATTTTGATTTTGTATGGTTTCGGGACTTGATATAACACACTTTTCATTTACTAAAAAATAATAAATATTTAGGCAGTGCGTCGTTCATTTAATAAATAAATAAAGCTTACATACCAGCTTACATTGTACCTTCATATATTTGATGAAAAGCTGCAGCTGGTCTAAAAAAACCAGATTTTCAGAACCATAAATACGTATCATTTCTACAAGTTCGGTACACCATTGAGAAAAAAATGCAATTAAAATCTTAGTGACACTAATGCACAAATTGCGTAAAGTTATTATGAATTTAAATCTGCAGTTAATTGATCAATCAATATTTTAATAAAAACAGAGGGTGGTTTATCAACCATATAGACTTTAACTAAATTGAATTCGTTTTTGAGTACTTCATTATTTTATTTATTAATCGAATGTATTTTGTTCCAGGTTTTTTCAAATCTTTGTTTGAAGACCTGAAAGGACCAATCATATTATTACGGATGAAACCCGAAACTTTCTGGTGAGTATTTTTTAAGAATTATAGGGATTATTATGTTAGAGATCAATTATATGTATAGGAAAGTTGTATAATTTGTGGTTTTTCTTACTTTCCCGACTAAGGTCGATTTTTCAAAATGAGAAAGCTTTATCTTTGTGTGCTGTTTTGATAAAATTATTGTAATAACTGACTTGATTTTTTAATTAATTTATATATGAATCCCAGTCACTGTGGTCAGTTGCAGAATGTGTCAGATGATGCAAAACGATTTTATTGGTTTATTTGTTTGACTTCCTTCTTATGTGTTTAATCGGTTTGCAATGGATTCTATGAAATTTCCGAACGCTGTTGAATGGGCCGTGCTCTGTTTCTTTACTGTGAATGTTTAATTGATTTTAAAAGTGTGAATTTCGGCTTGAAGTTGCTTCGAATTCTGAAGACCCGACTATACACAGTATCCAAAAAATGAGGGAAGTCTTTCGGATACGGAAAAAATCACATGCAAATAATACTAGAAGTTATATAGATATTTCCGGTAGAGGCTCAGAAAAAGAAAAGAAAAAAGCTCTTTCAGAAATCTCGGCTCCCAGAGCTTCAATGCAGTGAAAAGTGTGAATTAAAAACATCCTCATATCAAAAAGATATTTGCTCGCAAACAATTAGTATTTCAATGGTATAAAGAATTATTTTCAGCTCTTTTTATGTCCTTGAAATTTATCACCTTTTTTTCTTAAAAATCTCTTTTTCTCTTCTTTTCTCTTTTCGTATAAAACAATTGAAGATTATATATTTTGTATCAATCCCCAGTCGAATATATTAAATGAATGGGTTTTTGATTGCTACCATACGAGCTTCTATTTTCGATTTGGAAAATCCACTTAGAAGTCAGTTCGTATTCTTGTGAGTTAAGTATACAGGGTGATTCGAAATGGGCGTCATTTTTCTCGAGTGGTATGGGTGGCCTGAGGGTATTTACTGAGTAGGTACCGTGAAATTAGTAAAAAAATCAATTCTTCCAGGAAAACGGAAATRTTCGCATAAACAGAATCAGAAAAATGACAACAAATGATGCAAATGCAACAATGCAATTGAGGTTCTTATAATTAACATTACGTGAATTYCTGTTTTCTTTTGCAATCAAGGAAAGAAACAGGTGAAAAATACCAAATATAAAAAATATGTTTTTCTTTTATTTCATTTTCACTTTATTGAGAGTTCAACAGTGAGTTGTAGCTCTTGTTCAAGCTATTACTTGATCCGGAGTTTTTTGAAAGTTCGATAGCAAGGAAATTTCGCAAAAACATCATTTTGATGAAACTTAAACTGTGTTTGTTATAACCACTTGCACTTTTTTCGGCTTCACGTTTGCTTTTTCATGAGAATCAAAGATCAATCAAATTTTTCTCAAGAAGAGTTTGGAATTATATTCACACACCGCCAACTCTATATCTTTCTTATGCAGAAATTTGGACATATCGGGAGTCTCGACAGCTAAGTATATCAAATGTAAACAATGTCGAACACTATGTTTATTATACATTTGAAGCACGTTAAAATTTAAATTTTACTAATTAAATCTTCGATTTTTTATTAAAATTTTTTGGTTTTGGATTGATTCTTAATGTAATCTGAAACTTTCTCTATTTCTGCATTGATTTTCAATGAGGAAAATTAATTATTCTTGAAGCTAGTTCAAATATGTACTTCAGTAATTAAAATTGAAAAGGGGACATTTTCCACGAAATCCGACATAGTTATCTAAATAAGTGTAAGAAATAAGAGAATAAATGTATAATAAAAGGAATGTACTTTTCTCTTTTCATTGTTTATATTTATTCTGAAATTAAAACTCAACTATGGGAAACTTTCCTTTTTTCAATTCAGTCTCAAAATAACTAACTCACATGAGTTCTGATCTGTTTCTTAAAAATCATTTTTGAGTTGCCTTCAGCAGTGCTTTTTCCAATTTTTTTTAAAACTGCATTCACGCAGCGAAAATAAAGGTTTCTGACTTGCGTCGTCATATGTAAAATATTTACTGATATTCAGAATGTGTCTAACATGCGCTGTTAAATACAGCAAAAAATATTCACATGTTTTTACTAATATATTGGCAAACTATTCATTTTAATATTTTTCCAATGGCTTCTGCCATTTAAAATTCGCTTCTGAAAGCAATGCGTATTGGCAAACTGTGACAAAAAAGACAAAAAAAAGATCGAAGTTGAATTCGATTTCTATGGGGCTACTGTGTACTGTATGTTAATGGCGCAATATTTTTTTTTCTTCAAAAATACGGGGTCAGGAAAAAGGAAAAAGTCTTGAACCACCCGTAAAAAAGGTGTGGCAAACTTTTCGGTAATGCATTTAGATAGACAAACATTTAAAATTTTTCCAACTTACACTTGTTAAATGAATCTGCGGCTAATTTTAGCTATTAATACAAGTTTTTATTGAATTTTCCTTGAGAAAGAGCATACTCAAATTAAACCAACATATAATCCAGCCCTAACAGATCAGAATAATAGGCTGCGTTTGGTTTGGTTAGCACTTGAAACAAATGGTTTTCTTTTGATTGATTTGTTTTGCATAATTGGTACGTCGTCTGGCCTATGAAGTTGATTTGTAATTTGAGTACAGGGTGTTTTAAAGTGCAGTGTCGACTAACAATAAGCAATTTCATTTTAAAATATCGAGGTCAAAGTTGACGACTGCCCATATCGCTATCGAAGAAAATCAATTCTTCACCGAGAGAAGTCGAAGCTTTTATCGAACTGCAATATTACCTAACCGCAACAAGTTAAAACACCATTGTTTTGGACCACCCAGACCAGACTTGACCTCGCCTTAAGTGCTTGTCGTACCTATATGCTGAGCTGGAACTCTTTTTTTCTTTTTAGTCGTGTAGGTAGTTTGTATTTATGATAATTTATATTTTTAGTTGACCCAAGTTGCCTTTGTTTTTGCTGCAGCTAGTTAGTCAACGCCTTGCATTTGTCACCTACTACGATCACGACCCCGGAAAACATTCTACAGTAATCTTTCTATCTTCTAAGTGACTCTCATCCTTGAGCTCGCGTTCATCGGGATTGAAGGCCTTGTAGATCAACTTCTTTATTTAGAACTGATTACTACGGTTGTTGCGTTTTAACATTCTTTGAAGCACTTTGACTATTATCGTTAACCACTGAGAAATTCAATATTCCTATATTTACTGAAAGTCGCGCTTGACTGTTTTTCGGATTATTGGAAGCTTTACATGAGGCCGTTTTTGTGGTTTACAAAGTTCAAGATTTTTGTGAATGAAGAAGAAGTAAGAAGACAAAGAGTAAAATCACATATTTTTTTAAATTAGAGCACCCTTAATCCATATTGGTCGCTGTTAGTTTTCTTACAAATAAGGACAACTTTGATATAAGGTTTATTGACTCATAAAGATTATTAACTTAATTTTTTTAAATGAAACTTGTCATGAAGGCCTTTCAACAAGCCTTTCAGAAAATGCTAAATTGTCGATACTTTGAATTATACGTTCCTACAGTAAATCGATTGCAAAGTAAATTTTTTGCAAGAATTAAAGGTCTCCTTTTTTCAACCATGCAAGTGTATTATATGTTAGTATTTRAAGCTTTTCTACTACTTTTACTACATTAAAATGAGTAAAATAAAGYACGAGAAACCTGTAGAGGTTTCTCGGGCACCATCAATGCAGTGTCGTCGGCGTATTGTTAAAAACCATTAATCATTCATATAAATAGGAAAATAATTATCTTGGTAATCCAACGAATACATTTGTGATTTACATCGACAAATTCATTGTATAAATTATATTTTTATTAATTAATAAAAAATGATTTTGTGCAACGTCTAACAAGAATTTTTACTTATTAGATGAGAATAAAGGTATGCATGCATACAAAGGCTGTGCTGAATCACATCTGTCTGTAGTTTGAATTAACTGTGATTTGAGTTGGTAACGTTTCCAAATAAGCAGAAATTCAAGGAAGCWCAATTACAATGGAATTAAACTTAATCKTTAATTATAATGTATTGCCTTGGATTGTAACTTGGTAAAAAACTAGGTAGTTTAATATTGCTTTATCAATAGAGAAGAATTGGGAATATTTTCTAATAAAATCATTTCAGTTACTGCAATGGATTTTTATAGAAACTAGAACGCACTTATTTATCTCACCTTATCTAATCAGTAGCTGATCTCATTGCCGAAATTACACTTAGTTTTAATATAACTTAATCGGCTTACTTCTGATAGGCATTCGACCTTCACATTTTTTGATATTACTATGTTTGGCAGCGACATACATTTTCTCCGAGATAAGACAGTAAACAGAGATTAGAGAATTGACACATTTTCGACACAATTTTCCTTGTCCTTGTTTTGTATTTTGTTTATCATTAAAGTTTCTCACCTAACAAGAAAGTGTGCTAATAATTGCCTGTTTTGTCTCAGCCTTTATGCGACCGTAAGTATGCCATTTATGCCTCTAAAAGATCGTTTTAGAAAAAAACATATCAGTATAGGACGCATTTGCGTATACCAAATGATATTGCTTAAGTAAACAAGTTTAAAACAAAGTAAACTCACATTATTTAAAACGGGATTTAACTATAGGCAATTGGGCAGGCAGTAGATTGAGATAATGTGTTTGAAAATAATGTAGACAAASCASAARTTGAGCATAGAATTATGCTAGTTTTATTTATTATGCRAATGTTTCATAAATTTCATTTYGTTATTGCTGCCATTTTATTTAGAAAATCTAGTATCTCACTAAAGTGTCACGTGCATCCTATCCGCAGTATAATGGTTCAGGGCCCATTATCTTATTACTACCTATCAATAATAAATAATTTTTTGTAAAAAAGTGAGTTTTTTCACAAACACCAAACAAGTTTTCACCAATTTCAAAAAGCATTTTAGATGTTTATGTTCTCTTTGCCAGTTTTTTTGGTCCGTTCAAACATTTTTCCATTGTATATAGGTATGATGCAGATATAGTAAAAGYATGGAGCTCCGATGCAGGAGGTAGTTTCAAATAATAAAAGTTGTTGTGTATTTTTTTATCTGGTTAAAAAGAATGTATAATTAAAGAAATACTTAAATAATTGTAATMMTYRTWAAYWTGCAACAWAATGTAAAATWMTGTAWTWATSTGAAGTCTTTATACATTATGTATGTCCAAGATAAAAAATGTGCAATGTTGGTTAAATGSGAAAAATTTGCGCAATTAAAAATCTAATCAACTAATCAAAGGGCACTCTTGGAACGAATTTTTGTTTCCGGTGTATTGGGYATAAATATATTTTGGACTTCTATCTATATCTTGGTCTTTTTGGTATGAAATATATACAGTGAAAGCTCCGATAAGCGGAGAGGCACGGTTCCACAAAAAATGTCGTTCTTGGGAGGTGTCCGCGTAATAAAGATATGTAGTTAATTAAAAAGTTAAAAGTGAAGAAACCGGTATTTAAATAAACCAAATTATGGGTTTTGTCCAAAATTCGAAGCTGCAAACGGTTTCAGAAAAACATTTACAAAGCTGTTCAGGAGCAGAGTGATCCAATAAATTTGTTTTATTAGTTTCACAGAAAATATCTGAAGTTTGTCAGTATTTAAGTAAAACTAAAAATAATACGTTTTTTTGCGTAGCAAGAATTGCTTAATAGAAACTTTGCTAAAACTGAAATGATCTGAAATTTTAAAGAAACTTTTAAAATCTTCAGAGCGATGAGGGCGGCGAATTTTACAAATTATTTTTCGTACTAAGACTTCGTTTTCAAGATAATCTTAATTACTTACGGTGAAAAACTGAATAAAACTATTTGGTTTTTGTGCCAAATTCGAAGCTGAAAAGGATTTTCTAAAGTTCTCTGCAAATTGAAGAATGCGGCGAATTTTGTAGCAAAATCAATTTTTGTTATTTTTTGGCATTTAGGCAAATGGATTTCAAAACTTTTTCCAAAGTGACGAAGGAGGCGAGTGTTCTAATAAAAATTATTTCATAATTTTTCGCGAAAAATACCTTAAGATATTCAGTCAGTATTTTTAGGTGATTTTTTGAAAATTCAGCATTTAGAAAAAAGAGTAACTTTGCACACGAACACTGGAAAATTCTGAAATTGTGAAGAAATGTAAAAAATATTATTGATAAATGGCCCTTAAAATAAATAAAAAAACAAGTAAAAAAGTAAAGAGTTACTCCACCAACTTCTAAAAATTAATTGAGTTACCCAGGCTTAGAGTTGATACACACACACCGCATCGGATAAACGATGTTTAAAGTTATATTCTATGCAGCAGATGTGACTAGTTTTTGCTACTGAAACGCTCGGCAATAAGAGAACCAAATTTTCAATTAAAGGCCATCCAGTTAGACACATGCGCGATGAACGATTAACTGGAAACTAATTATATTTTTTTTGCTTTCAGCTCGAATAGCGCTCCACCGTCCATAGAAGATGTCCCACCCCATCACAACCCTAAAAGGCTTCTGGCCAGCTGATCTACGGTAATCATAGCCCGGCATCACTTGACGAGGCCGGGCAACAAAGCCATGTCAGCGGAGATGCGTTCTCCAAACGTCTCTGTTACCCCCATCAACATGGAGTACATGTCCCCCAACCAGCTGATGAATGGGGGGCAAGAATTAGTGGCCGCAACGAGTACTGTAATAAGTACTGTTGGTGGCGTCGTGAAATCCGGGGAAGTGACCGAACCACCACGAACCAGGAGTGCACCCCACCCTGGTGTCGTCCACCCTGGTGTCGTTCTAGCCAATGGGGTGGCTGATATTGATGGGCCCGATGCCGAATTAGCTAGGATAGAATTGCAGTCTGTAAATATGAGGAGCAAAACGAATAAGCAAGAGGAATTGCCCAGGCCGATGAGTTGGGAGGGGGAATTGAGCGATGGAGAAAGGGAGGGTGCGTAAATTGTTGAATATATATACAGGGTGATTCAAAATTGGCATCATTCCTTTTAAGGGGTGATACAGGCTCTCTTGGGGTGTACGAGAAAAATATCGAAAATGTTTTTTTCCTAAATATCTAGAAGATATTGTACCGTGGATGGCCGAGTATCAAACTCTTTCTTCTGCTTCCAACTTTTATTCCACTCGGTACAACTTTAACTACGGAACAGGAACAAACTAACTTCAAAATTATCGTCAACTTCACAAACAATAGCAAAAACACACGGAAAACTCGCTCTTCAGACTCGCGGGGCTTAACCTCTTCTGCACCCGGTCGCTCCTGTCACTTTCACTGACTCCCCATGGTTCTCGTCGTCGCTTATATAGTTTTCTCCAGGTATCCCAGATAGTTCTAGAAATCTCCAGAACATGTGCGAAACTTCCCGCTTGTCAGTGTCATATTTGACAGTAAATGGGGCCCAAGTGGGGCTTCCATTTACTGAAATACCATGAATTTCGATCCCCCATTCCAAACGTGAGTACCCCAGGCCATTTCCGTTACAATATTAACAGTTGATTATCGAATTTCAACTTTGTTATTAAGCATTATTTTGAAATAGTTCCATGCTTAATTGGTAGCATATTTGAATACTTAAATATTCAAAAAGAAAAATTACGATCTTTGCTTCAAATTACGAAAATTTTTGATAT